GATTTTTATTTTATTAGCAATTTTTTCAGTGCATTTTTTTACAATTGCATGATGTAGAAGTTTTCATAAGACACCACAAAATACAATTTTTTTGAAAATGTATATGAGGCACAATTTTACAAAGTTTCAAATTGAAGGCATTAAATTACAAATAAAAAATTATCACAACATGATATACAAAAATTGCTAAAGATCATCGATCTGTAATTTGAAAATCACATCTATTTATTTTTCACATTTGTGTCATCTTACAGCTTGTACAGTACATAGCTGCCTTATTCAATATCAATTTCATTCTTCTAAATACTTTTTTCGTTGCATCTGCTTTAACATATATATTTTTTTCAAGTTTATTTTTGCCTTTTAGTTTAAAAATACTATGGATTGTATGAAAGTCAATATCAATGTGCAGATTTAAATATTATATTTATTACATACATGTATTGATTTTGGTCCTTCGTCCTAATTTATACTCGGCAAAATATCGAATTACCAAATGATAAGATTTTTTGCATTACCAAATAAATTTGTTTAGCAATCAAATAATATAAAATTTTAACAGAAATTGTTGTGTACAGTCCAAAATATTTAACACATCGAGGCACAATATTGTTCACAAAAAACAAAATTTTTAGGAGGAGTTCGTCTTCAAACAGCTTACAAGAACTCTCCCTTATAGGAGTAAATCACGTCTACCCACTTTAAAAGGAAATGTATTACACTTCTGTCTGAAAGTCAACATTAATGTGTAGAAATAAAAATACAATATATTTGGTCCTTCGACTAATTTCTACTCGACAAAATATCGAACTACCAATTTATAAGCATTTTCGGTTTACCAATCAGCTAGTCTAAAATGGGACCAGAAAGTGCATTGTGTACAGTCAAAAATATTTAACACATAGAGGACAATGTTGTGTAAAAAACAAAATGTTTTGGCGCTTTTGTTGTTTTTAAACAATTTTTCCTTCCAAAAATGCAACTTATTTTTGTACTCTGAAACGCTTTAAAAAGACCCTTTTAGTAGCTTTACTACTAAAATGCACAGTAATAGAACAAATATTATTTATTTTACTTTTTTTAAGCAAAATAATTTTTGTTACCAATTTTTCGTTCACCAGCCAATTTTTTAATTGCTGTGTTCAGAAATGCTTGAGTACATATGTCCCTTTTGCGGTCTTACCCCACGGTGCTGTAAACACCAGTTAATATAACGAAATATTACCAAATTTCACACGTATTTGGGCCCTTTCATGAATTGCTGTGTACAGTTAAAATGGACATTTTCAAAATTCAAAAACGAACAAAAATAACAAAAAATTAATTGCTGTGTACAGTTAAAATGAAAAGGAGGAGAATATATAATAAATGTTTCGTACCGTAAATTCCAAATAAAAATTTTATTTATTTTAAGCAAATATTATATGGATAATATGATGTACTGTACACTAAAAACTCTAATTCTAATGCACTTGATTTCACTTTCACTACAATCCATATAACAAATCAAAAAGCTTTCAATAGATGCATTACAATTTCAAGATATACCAAAGCACAATAAAATAGAACCTTTGGAATCAGGATAAATAAATAGGCTGAACAATTTTGAAATTAGATCAAAAATCCATCAAAGAATATATCAGGATCATAAAATTAGATTCAAAAACTTATAGATTTCAAAACAAAAGAAATAACCAAAGGTTGACTATATATTGCAGTAGTAGTTTACTTGTTAGAAATAAATTTTTAGGTATCAAATTATTCAAAGTCAAGTTGATCGATAGTGCGGTGTAAATGTGTCGATATTTCAGTGGTGTTGAAAAAATCAGAAAAAAGTTATAAGGATCCGCGGTATGTACAAGTATTCCAATGGATTAAGAATGTATATTTTCAGCTTCTTCAGATAAATCGATTTTATCGATTATCTTCAGTGAGGTCAGTGTGGAAAAAATTGATCCTATCTACATGGTTTACAACATACATATATATATGATCGGAGGATTTAGATTATTAATCAGAGCGGAACGAAGATTCTACTGAAATAAGACCAAATAAATTAGAGAAAATATGTGCCAATAAATTCGAGGAAACCTGCAGAAAATATTTTTGAATGCTTTCTAACCAGTCTAAAGAAACCATTTTCAATTTTCGATTATTACGAAACAGTCTCTGAAATAAATAATTTAATCATAATCCAACTGAAAAGAACTCCGAAATATTAATTATATATCTCCAATATGTTTGGTTATTAATGCAGAGTCCATCTAAAATATATCTCATCTCTGTTCAGAAAATATTTTTTCGATAACTTGAGTCTGATAAAAATCTGAACTAATTATGTCGTAATAGATTCTGATAGAACTAATTTAAATCGCTTCAGGAAATCTTTCTTTCCGATGTCCTTCAGACATAACTGATGAAATTCTAAAACAATGTCACAATAACCAAATATGACAGAACATAGAAATAATTCTAAAATTTGTGGATTTGTTCTTCTTCTTCATATTACGTCTACTCTCTTAGAAAATATTTTTTTTCGATTACTTTTAGACCATTCTGATAATATTCGGAAATAATTTCCTCATAATCAAGCTTGACAGTACACAGAGTAGTTCGAATATTCCTTGTCTTATTATTTTTCATTAGTTAATACATCCGGCGGAGCCCGTCTTGGGGCCTTTGAAGGAATGCATTCAAGTTTCGACAGAAAACAAAAATCCGATTATTGTAAGACACATCTGATAAAAAGATGATACCAATCGAACAGAAATAGTTTTAATATTTTTAGAAATTAGTATTAAATAAATGCAAATATATTTCACAATTTACATATTTATCACATAGGACAATTAAATATGTACCATTTTTTCATTAAAAAAAAATCACAGTTTTTTAAAGCACACCACTGAAGAGTTTATTTTTTATACACACACACAAAACACTGCATTATCGATTATTAAGTGTTTGACTAGCAAAGAGGAACAAAATTTTGAATGACAAAATAACAAAATTGAAATAAACACACACGTTTATTCCACACACCATTTAAAACATGCATGAGTTCAAATATAAACCAAACAATAATAAAAAAGTTATGATGCATGAAGCTCTTATAAATGAACGAATTTTTAAATTTGTCACGAAATGTTATCCACAGGTGGACAACTGTTTCAAAATACTCCTGGATATACATATAAACCTATATGTGAATGAACAACTGGAGGACTGAAAAAAATACAACAGGAAACAACGTTTATCAAAAAACAAAAACATTTTTATAATCTTTTCATTAATTAGGAGTTTAACTTAAAAATTTAAGATATTCCAATTTGGGAATTTGCTTAAAATTTTCAGTTAAATTCAAAGAATTTTTGCAATTAAATGCAAAAAATTCCAAATTTGTGCTAGTATAGAAATAATAAAGATTATAAAAATGTTTTCAAAAAATAATTTCAAGTAAATTTCAACGATATTACGATTGCAAGACGTAAATTTACTTTTGAAATTAGGTGATGGATTTTAATCGAGTTCTGGCGAAAGCTCAACGCATCGTTATACACATTTGCTAGTTGCCATTTTTTTATTCTACTTCTTCTTCGATTGTAAGCTATTTGTATCTAATCGTAATCGAAAACCACGTTTTGTAATTTTTTTCTCATTTTATATATAAGTTGCAGCTTTATATCATGTGGACTACCTATAACTATTCTACGCTATCCTTTACTTCTAAAAGTAAAAAAAAAAAGTAAAAAAACAAAAGCTACATTCGTGTGTATATGCCATTTGTATATATGTATCTCTTATAGATTTAAGGTTTTTTAATTACTACACTTGAATATATTTTAAACTTTTTACTATATATTTTTTTTAAATAACGAAATACAATTTCTACGTGCTCCAAAATGCTTAAATTCTCCGATGCAACGGGTCACAAATCTTTTGGCAAGACTAACGTTAACGAACAACAGAGAGAGTTATCATCTAAAATATTAACAAAAACAATGTGCTATACAATTTGTGAAAAATTGTATATTGCATTAAATTTTGATGTCTTCAATTGCGAAAACTTTAGAAAACCTATTGACATTTTTTTGTTATGTATGACAAAAAAAATTATATAGATTTTCTTTAGTTTTCCCTTGAAAAATAATGTATATTTTTTTCAAAATAATATTTGCATTTTTTAACAAACTTTTTTCTCATAACAAAACTTTTTTCATAAAAAGTTCATTAATTCTCAATATTTCACATAAATGTGTGTACAGTACGGTGACAAAAGTGATGCCAACCCATTAACGATCTGAATGTTGATCAACAGCATTATCGACTCTTTATCCAACATTCTAAAGATGAAAATCAGTATTAGCGACTTAATAACAATTACCGTTAATTATACGCTATTACCAACAAATTATTAGACAGAACTCAAAAATATTTCTGATGCAAATAACAAAAATTAACGATTTTTTTTACAAATACTGTTCATTGTACTGTACACTTTTTTTTATATATTTACATACCCATTTAAATTTCATTACCACCTTTTTAAATATTCACAAACATTATGTAGCTTTCATAATAATATATTCCAGTTCAAACATTTTTTTATTATACCCTACATACAATTTTAATATCTTTGTTAAGATAACAATTAACCCTATTATAATTTATTTTATTAATTAATTTATTTATATAATGGCTTTTAAAAACGAAAAGCCTGCAATCAAATCCCCCATAATTAAAAATTCCTACAGAAAAACAAAAAAAAAAAAAAACTAATTCATGCTAACAAAAATCAAGAAACTTTAAACCTTATGCAAAACATTATGTCTCTCTCTTTCCCCCCAAAAAACAAAATAAAATTATATATAAACAAATTAACAACATCAACAACGATCTGGCCCCACACATGACCCTCCGTTGTCTACGACTGATCTACGATACCTTATACCCTCTACTGCCCTCATCATTGCAACATTTTGGATTCAAATATCAAACAGTTACTTTATCGTTTTGGTACTCTTCGGTAATTATACATTGCTAAACGTGTTCTTGGCTATCGCTGTTGATAATTTAGCAAACGCCCAAGAATTAACTGCTGCCGAAGAGGAACAAGTCGAGGAAGATAAAGAGAAACAATTACAAGAATTGGAAAAAGAAATGGAAGCGCTACAAGGTGATGGTGTCCATGTTGAGAATGGCGGTGACGGTGCGACAGCGGTCAAAGCGAAAAGCAAAAAGAAGGAAGAGGAAAAGAAAGAGGAGGAAGAAGTTACGGAGGGTCCAAAACCAATGTTGCCATATTCATCAATGTTTATATTATCACCGACAAATCCGTAAATACTCATTTTTCTATTTATATATTTATTTTTGTTTGTCTATTCGTCTGTCTGTCTGCTGTCAGTCTCTATTTCTTTGTCTCTCTCTATATATGATATTTGTTATTTTTATATTTGTATTACTAATATATCATATGCCGTATATTTCTCATATATGCTTTTGATTTTCATTTTTGAAAAAAAAAACTTAATCTCCTTAACTTTTCGCTATACATACATAATATTGATTCATATATATTTTTTGCGAGAAAAAGGGTTAAGTATTTCGTAGTGATTTTTTTTGAAGTTTTTTTCTTTTTCTTTATGTTTTGAGGATGTCACAAGGGACCTGGAAGCCTATTAATTAGTTATTGAGTAAGAAAATGAACTGTATAGACGATGGGCGCCAAAGTTTGTAAATTGGGCGCCAGATTTGAAATGATGATGGATATATGTTGGGCGCCAAGAAGTTCTTGAACTTTTCTTTAACATTCAGATTTATTAAGTTGGATTTAGGTGTCGTTGGGCGCCAATTTTGAAATTATGTTTTAGCGTATTCTCTTTTTTTTCTAATATATTGTATATTTTCTGTCTTCAAATAGTTACATTATTCTGATTTCTTCTTTAGCGCCAAATAGATATTCTCTTTTTGATTTATATTGTCTTGAATATTTGAACGCCAAATCTATTCTTTCATAATTAGTCTTTGCAAGATAACATTAAGATTTAAATGCCGCCAGCCGCCATTAGTCAAATCTTTATAAGACTATTTTTTTTTAATTTCTACCTCAAATCTAGAGGTCCCTCTGGGCGAAAAAATAATTTGAAGTTTGTGACAGATTTTCATATGTTGGGCGCCAACACAAACTTCACTTTTTGTAGCCCAATAATGCTTACAATCAGAGATTGAATCATAGCTCCTAATATTTTAGAAATGAAGACCTAAGACGTTTTGGATTTCGAGAATTTGGAATACATTATGAGAGAAAGACATTTTTTTACTTCTTTCAATGATTGATAATAAAGGATCAGGAAAATTTTCAATAAATAATTCAGGAAATACGTATCATTACGTGAAATACTCAACTGTATTTTGTCTGTTGGGCGCCAACACAACCTTCATGTACGGTTCATAGCACAATCCACAAAAATTGAGGATGATACCAATGTTAACTTAATGAAATAGTATCAAAAAGTCCATTATGTATATTCCTAGTCTTCGACAAATCCATAGGCTTGTATTGTCATTCTGTTCTCTTTTGGCACAAGTTCATATTATTCCTTGGTTCGTAGTTGCTCGTCTCCTTCAATACCTTCGATTTCTTTCAGGGTTCTTCCATCGTACTTTAAAATTAAGCTAGCCTCCCTTTCCGAATCATGAAGCTTTCAGTCATACTTTTTTTAAATCGACAGTATGCTAGAGTTCGAAAATTAATCAAAAATGTTCTACCGATTTAAGGTAGTTTAAGGTTTTCTTTTTTAGTGATACCTTCAATCGATATGGCCGAATCTGGACTTTATTATTGGTACACAACATTTCCCCAGCAAATATTGTCAGAAAGCCTCATGTTTTGGTTTTAGAACAGTGGCGTTCCGCACACATAGCACATAGAGAATTATGTGCATGTGTGTTGGTAGTGGATATCGAAATGCGCGTTTCTGGTTTTGAACGCCACAAAAACGAATAAACGTTGTTGATTGAAATATTTGAAAATATTTCGATCAATTCAAAAACCATAGGATTTTTCTCTAGGCTTTTTGAAGTGATTTTTTGTCGGTGTCTATTAAATTCTCTCTAGAGTTGTATTTGGAAAGTATAAAAAAGTTGTTGGATTCAAAACATCTCGCAATATTCATTAGGCACCGCGTATATTATATATTATATATGTGAGTAGTCATAGTCAATCCGGGCATTCAGGGTGTAAAATACCAACTAAAAAAATATTTGAAATATAGGTCTATGTTCGCTTCATTTTAGATATTTTAAAGGATCAAGACACATTTTTAAACCGACAATTGGAACTACAGGTGTATGTTTTGATATAGCCTCATTTTAGATATTTTAGTGGTCTTAGACGCATTTTAGAGGTCCCAAATGCCGGTACTTGAAATATTGGGTTTTCAAAGAATATAAAACCTGTAGAAAAATGTTAAGGTAGATCCACGATTTTACATATTTATTATATAAGATTAACGTATAATTTTAGACATTTGTAAAGGACATTTGCAAAATCATGTCACTATGCAGATCTATGCTTGGACTCTAATATTAGCACCCGGGACCTGAGAGGTTACACCAAAACATTGGAATATCTTAGCTTCTCATTTCGCATTCCAAGAATATTTCGATGATAGGTCCATCAAAGAATAAAAACCACCTACAATTTGTCGTTGATATTTTGAAGGTGATGTTCGGTGAAGGTTTTTTTACCTATGGTGGTTGATTTATAAATTCGGACCTGTGGGACTTTTACTTCGTAATTTAAAGTGGCTATTGGATGATCTTGTAAACCCCTAGTTCTAGGGTTTGTTGGACTTTAGGTTTTTATTGTTTGTATAGGTGTGCTCCAATTGATTTTGGCTTAATTAGTTGTATAATATCGATAATTTCAAAACGTTTTAGAATTACCAGGTCATAAAAATACGAAATTATAGCATCCTCTGTTATGGGTTTGAGTTATTCGTGGTTAAGGAACTCTATAATTGAGATTTAGTCTCAATTAAACTATAGTTCGGGGATAGAAATTATTTCCTCCATACTTCTCCATTTTTGTTTGATTTTGAACAGTGAATAACAAAACTTCTTGACATAAAATTGTCATTGTATGCTTAATTTACCGTATGGGCCCAAGTCATCAATTTTAGAAAATTTTCTAAGGCCATAGTTCCTCATTTTTGGTAAGGTTCTATTAATTCAGAGGTTTAGAATTGATAACCGTTTATAGTGTCTTTTATTTTTTCTACATCGAAATACGAATAAGAAGCGTCATGAAATCCCTCAAAAAATTTCCAGATCCCCTTCAAACATCCTCATATTTTTTCTTTTCCTTCATTCACATAAATACTTATTATATTCTAAAAAATATCTCTCATATCTTCTCTGTAAGTTAGTTCTATAAGATTTTCATAAATAATCTCTAAGTGTTATACTTTTTGTCTTCTTAAGCAGAGGTAAACGAAACAAATGATTAATATAAACTTTTTCTCTTTTTTATATCCTCTTTTTGGTTTGAAATTTTTATTTTTTGTTTGTTTTTTTTTTTTTTTTGTATTTTTTCTATGACTCCCTGTTTTCTTATGTGGATATGATTTCTTTAATTTATGATTTGATGATCATAACGTCATCATTGCTATCATCATCAACAACAACAACTTCAACTGCTTTGCATGATGCACGATAAAAAACCAACAATCATCAACAAAAATATCATGCGTTTATTGTATTGCTAAAAACAAACTCTACTCCCCTACAACTTGCCAAACAAACAAAAAATCATCATCTGCCATGGAAAAAAAAATCACAACACGAAACCACGATGAACAAAATATCACCCCAAAAAAATAAAAACAAATTACGAATGCGCCCAAAACCAAAAATACACCCAATACACCAATGCTTTTACAACAACCACAACAACAAATTGGATACACCCCCTACCTAAAAAACCCCGAAAAACACACCAATTGGAATGACAAAATTTTGAAAATTGATACCAAACAAAAATCGCAAAAACCAAAACCACAAAATGTTGGCGAAAATTTGAATACCTCCCAACCCCCAAAAAATACCAAAAAACAATATTTGAAAAATCCAAACAAATACAGCATCAGACGTGGCGCCCATTGGGTCGTTAATTTACGTTACTTTGATTTTTTCATTATGGTCGTCATCTCATTGTCATCGATAGCGTTAGCGGCTGAAGATCCCGTTCGTGAGAATTCACCACGAAATAAAATTTTGAATTATTTCGATTATGCATTTACCGGCGTATTCACAATAGAAATGTTACTGAAAATTGTAGATTTAGGTGTTATATTACATCCTGGCAGCTATTTAAGAGAATTCTGGAATATTATGGATGCTGTGGTCGTTATATGCGCTGCTGTTAGTTTTGGTTTCGATATGAGCGGTAGCAGTGCTGGACAAAATTTATCAACAATCAAATCGTTGCGTGTCCTTCGTGTCCTGCGACCATTAAAGACAATTAAGCGCGTACCCAAATTGAAAGCCGTCTTCGACTGCGTAGTTAATTCATTGAAAAATGTTGTTAACATTCTAATCGTGTACATATTATTTCAATTTATATTTTCTGTCATTGGTGTACAATTATTCAATGGGAAATTTTTTTATTGTACGGACGAAAGTAAACATACTGCCGAAGAGTGCCAGTAAGTAAAAAACCAAACTAAATTTTTTAATCAAATTCCTTACATTTTTAGTTTGTTTTTGTTTTCAATATAAATTTATTGCTAAATGTTTTTATTTTCTAATTTTTATAATCATTTAAAAAATGTATTATTTTTTTTTCAAAAATAACATATACTATATATTAATTTTAAATTTTTTTCTTGGTATTGCTAACAACAAATTTATGCTACAACATAACAAAAAATATTAACAATAGTCCTGTCTAGGTCCATACTTGTTGTCGTAATTTCATTTCTTCTTTCTAGAAAGCTAGAAAACTTTTAACTACTCAACTGACTAATTTTTGTGTGTTTGTTCTTTTCGTTAAGAATCGCTACAAACTAAACATAAATGTTTTTGATAAACCAATCAATCAATTTTTGTTTAAACATTTCAACAACTAACACAACAACAACAAGTAGTTTATCGAATTTACTTACACACGTAACACAAACGACACGCCTACATTTCTGTCTGTTCTCTGTTTTTTTTTTTAAATTAAATGTAAACTTCGTTCGTCGTACTTACGTAACGTAAACGTAACGTCTATATTTTAGTTATTACTACTACTTCTTCTTCCTCCATCACTTTTGTATTTCTCTTCATTATATACAAAAATTATTTTTGTTCCATATCAAAGTAAAGCAAGAAAAAAAAACGCAACGTACTAGATTCGCGAATATCTTTTGTCTCGTCTGCCTATATCCATATTTTCCATGATTGATTATATTTCGTTTCTATCCAAACGTCTTAGTAAAAATAAGAACAAAACGCTCTTTTCCTTGAATCCAAACATCCCTTCCGAAATAAATATTTTTTTATTTCTGTTAATTTTAAATTCATCCTAAATTTATTAGACGTTCGTTCTATTTGATTTTGTTCACGAAAAATAGTAACAAAAATATTTATAACTCATTATAAACAAAAAATTAGAAAATTAATTGTAAATATATATTTCGCTAGACAAATATTTGATCGATAAACAATTTATGTTAACTAAATAAAATTAGTTTTTAAATTAGAACTTCGAAAATATAGTGATGGCATTTAATGAATATTTTAACAAATAAATAAAAATAATCAAAATTATATAAAATGACATCTCCAGTCGATAGTGTAAAAAAAGTTCCTACAACTGTTCAAAATTATTGAAATATACAAGCTTTGGTAGTCCCTGATTTAATTATTTAACATAATGTGAAAAATAAAAATATTGTAAAAATATATTTAAAAATCAGTGAGCGAAGCCGTATATATGACGGGGCCGGCCACATGATACCCTACACAACTACAACGAAAATCTAAAATTCTTAGCCTGGGCAATATATCGCGATATCTGCACCCTCTTGACCGATTATAGAACCGAACAACTCCACTTTCTAACCCTGGCATATTTTCTAAATATTATTTTCCTGAGGTGAATATTTACGCCACAAAATAAAAATTCGATCACTTTAGGTTTTGGTTGATTTGACCCTCGTAATATTGACCGATCACCACCTAAAAAGCCATTTGGTCAGATCCCCTTCACCGTGTAAAGTATGAGATGTTCTGCATATAATAATGCCATCTGCAGCGACTAGAAAATCAGACAAAAATAAAGTTTTCGGATCATTGCACCCACTAAATATTATCTTAACATTATCGAAAATTATAGGCGTCATTCTTGACCATAAAAGGAACTTCATGTAAAATTTCAAAGCGATCAGCCCAACATTTCCCTCTAAGAGTCAGAATACAAATTTTCACACAAAAATCTGGGTCCGCTAAATATTTGTTTTTAATCTTCTTCCCGGTCAGAAAACAGACAAAAATAAAGTTTTTGGTCCAAAATAATAATACATAAAACAACAGGGGCCAGAACCCATCCTACATGCAACATTTCGAGGCGATTTGCATCGTGTTTTCAAATTATAATGGAAAGACGGACACAAATGTCTAGATCGACTCAAATAGTCGAGATATGTACCACAAAGCTATAGTACCCCTACGACATAGTTGTGCAGGGTATTAAAAACACATATTTTTGTAGACTTAAAAAAAGCCTTTGAAAAATTTTACCTAATTCACAATTGAATTTTCCTTAAAATATATATATTAAATAGCTTCGATAGCCCTTGTGAAAAATGTCCTTTAAGAAAACTACGATCTAAGAAAACTATTCCTTGAAAAAGTGTCCTTTAATATAACAATGATTTCATAGTTCCTGAAAAATTATTTATAAAGAAATCTACGCTTCGACAGTGATTTAGAACAAATTTCCTCAAGGAAACTACGCTTCGATCTCCCTGAGAAAACGATACTTTAGGAAAACATTGTTACTACTTAAAAAATATTCCTTAAGAAAACTATGATTCCATAGTCCCTGAAACAATATTCTGAAAGAAACCTACGCTTCGAAAGTCCTTTAGAAAAAATATTCTCAAAGAAACTACGCTTCGATAGGTCTTAAGAACAAATTTCCCTTAAGAAAATTATACTCTAGAGAAATTATACATTGTTAGTCCTTAGAAAATATCCTTTAAGAAAACTATAGTTCCATATTTTTAAAGACGTCTACTTCTTATTTTTCTTCGAAAGTCATTTTGAAAAAATATGCTCAAAGAAACTACGTTTCGATAGTCCTTGGGAAAAAATGCACCTTAAGAAACCCATGCTCTTGGAAAACTGCACATTGTTAGTCCTTCAAAAAGTCCTTTAGAAAAAATATTCTCAAGGAAACTACGCTTCGATAGGTCTTAAGAAAAAAATTTCCTTAAAAAAATTATACTCTAGGGAAACTATACATTGTTAGTCCTTAAAAAATATCCTTTAAGAAAACTATAGTTCCATAGTCCCTGAAAAAAATATTCTTAAAGACGTCTACCATAATTCCATAGTACATGAAAAATTTTCTTATTTTTCTTCGAAAGTCCTTCAGAAAAAATATCCTCAAGAAAACCACTTTTCAATAGTTCTTGAAAAAAATGTCCCTTAAGAAAAATATGCTCTAGGAAAACTACACATTGTTAAAAAAATTATGTTCTAGAAAACCTCGTCATCTGAAGTGTAAATTTTTAAAATCTACATTAAAGATATCTAGGCTTCGAAAAAGAAAATATCTTCAAGGAAATATATTCCTTTGGAATAGTCCTCAAGAAAGAAATGTCCGTAGTCATAGTACCTGAAGAAATAAATTTAAAAAACCACTTCGGCTAAGCTCCCTCCAAACAAAAAAAACTTTGAAAGTTCTAAAAAAATTCTTAACCCTTAACCTTTAGCTGCCCATAAGAAGGGCACTGAGACTTAATAATCAAAATATTTAATAACTCTTTTTTCACCTCAATTTTTTGTGCAAAAATCATGTATGTGTTTTGTTAGAATTTATTAGATGCTATCACTAATATAGCTAAATTTCAAAATAATTAGTTAGCCAATCAGATAAACTCAAAATACATTATCACGTTTACATATGATGGAATATAATTAGAGCTCACAAAATTAGAAAAGAAACATATAAAATGTAGATGTAGAAGAAAACTCGATACAAATGGTTTTTATAAAGTAGTATACAATATAAAACGAGCCTTCAATACACATTTATAAAAAAGGACCCTCAGGGAAGTTTATGTAAATTATAAGTTATTTTTTTATCCCAATTCAAAAAGTTTAAAAATATGTTCCTACATGTTACGAAAATAGAAGCTAAGCATTTGCAAATTATTAAGCCCCTCAGTCCACACATCGATTAGCTCCATAAAACGATTTTTTAATTCTTCTCATAATTTGAATTCAACAATGCAATGTAGAATACATAACGGTTAAAATTTTATCAGTGGCCTTAATCCTTAAACTAAATATTTTTCAAAAAATTAGAGTTAATCGATATGTGGGCTCATATAAAATCACTTTTTCTAAAATTAAAAATGTTATATATAAAGTATGCGTATAAATTAAAATGGTATGTTAATACATAATTTATTATACGTTACATAAAATGATATATTAAATATATTGCCGGGAATAATGTTATCTGAATTATTTAATATTTATTCATTAATAATGATTTACCTTTCAGTTTAAAACTTGAACAACCAAGGACACTATATGTAAGTACTTTATATTACACCCAAATGTAACGAGTTTTCTGCTAAATTATTTCAAGAAAAATATAGTATAATTATTAATTTAATTGATGTTACATTTCTTAATTAGAAAAAAATACTCTATTAGTTTAGAAAAAAAAAACATTCCACTAAATTCTATCATATGTAAACAAAATTAGTAAACAAAAAAATTCCAGAGAGAGAATTAAAATGTTAGGTTTCAAAACAAAATTCTTTCAAAACCGAAAAAAGTGAAAAGAGCGCAATATTTATCAGGATTACCAGGATGCCAACTTTTAGGATAATTTCAAAAATATTTCTATTTATTGATAATGAAGAAACGTTAACGAAAAACCCATCGATGACGCCAAGTGTTGAATAAAGAAAAAAGTGCAGATATATTTCAACAAATATTAATAATACTAACTTCACGACGACTTTAAAATAATTACTTTTGATTGCACTGAAAGTCTGTACACTAGAGGCAATGAGGTGCCTTTTAGAGTTAGGAGAAAAAAAACAAGAACAATAAAAAATTAATCAAACAAAATAAAGCTCAGCTGAGACACGCACACATTTAAGCCAAAATAACAAAAATAAAAAAAATCCACAAGCTGTGAACAAATATTTAAATGTTTTTTTGAATAAGAATGTCAGAAGAAAGAAAAAAACAAAAGCAAACAACCAAACATTGAATGAAATATATTTCAAAATAATAAAAATTTAGAGAAAAATTTGAATTTGGAAATAAATTCATGACCGAAAGTCAACATCCCCTTTAAACTTTTCAATACAAAATATCGATTAGTCGAAAAACCACGCTCAGGCCTCATATAATATATAGCTGTGTAAATTTTATACTTAAACTTCTTCCATAATGTGACAACTTCTCCGGA